GAGCAATATTGCGCCATTCCTCATTACCATTAAGCGGCGGCCACAGAGCTAATAAATACGTCATACAAAAGACAGTCGGCAGACATGTTCGAATCACACATATATGCGTGAAGCGAACTTCGAACATGCGTGGGACGCGTCCGCAGGTAACTCGGTTGTCGTGTCCGCGGCGAAAACAGTGCCTTTTTTGTATGACGCGTAAGCAGCGTGACTCTCGCTTCGGTGTTCCATAGGAACATTAACATTTCAAGGCGCGTAATTCTAAGCGATAATCAAAAGTTTCGCAGAGTCTCACGGACATAACGATGCTTCCTCATCATCCGATTCCGGTCACAGGACCACATCCTTCCCAGGCCGGCGGCCGCGCCTGCATCCTCCACTCAAAGTGTGACTACTAACTTCTGACCGCACTGAACCACCGTTCGTAGAACGCCGAGAAGCTATTACAAGCGCCGGGGTCGGTTTACGAGCGTGGCGCGACGTCTTTCACTGCAGCCTGGTGAAAGTTGCGTGGCTCCGGTCTTGAATTTCCATCTCCTGACTGCTGTCCAACGTTACAAGCGGGTACGCCTTTCTAAAGTGGGTGGCTTACTGGAGTGGACAGGCCTTTTCACGGTCAGCCTGAGAGCGTGGAGATCATATTTCTGGAAAGCTTCGTACGACTCATACTTCTTAACAAATAAATGAATAAAAAAACATTTTTATAAGTGAATAAAAAAATATATATAAAAGCTCAAACTTCTCGCGATAAAAAGAAAAGGATGCACAAATGTAGGTCTTCTTATGCCCCACAAAGAGGCGCCTCTAGCTACACACAACTGCCTGCCTACACTTTCTTTTTTTTTCTCCAATTTGGTTGCGTCGCAAGCTGTACTGACGTTTTTAGAGAGCCGAAAACAACACGAGATCGTAAGTACCCCAAATATCACACCACGCGATATCAAACCGACTCAACGACCTGCCAACAACTCCCTTTTTCAAATCGGTCGTCTTACCCCGTTTACCCGTCACACGCGAGCCGCGACCCGACTTGGCAGAGACGGCCGCGTGGGCGCAAGAAGCAGGGGTCGGTTTCAACGCACCCTCCCTATACCGAGATGCGGACCCCAAAAACTAACAAACAGAACTGTTGCCCTCGGGCTTCGAGTCCGCCCCGTCTGCGAGGCTCCGTTGACGTCATTCTCAGCCGCCCACCCGAAGCAAACGGGCGAGTCGGGAGGGGGGAAAAAATCTCGGAGAGGGAGAGCCCGGCGGAAGAAGGGCCCGTGCGTGCGCCAGCTCGGCCTTTTCGGGCCGGCGGTATCGTGTGTCGTCGACGGCGAAGCCAACGGGAACGGCGTCACCTTCCGTCCGATTCACCTTTCGGAACATCAACACGCTGCACACAAACAAACCCGCTCTGCCTACACCAGGAGCACTCCGCGTGCGCACAAACCATATTCGAGCGAGATCCGGGGTCTGCGCATGCGCAGTGCCGACAACAGCGCCACGCAGTGGCGTGACCTCAGAGAGTTGATAAACAATTGCGAGCACAAAATCGCTGCGCAAACTACCCCTGAAATCCGATAGCATTTTTTTTTTTTTTGCACTCTTTCGTTTCGCGCCAATGTGTCTTCTTTAAACTGCTTAGAGGAAACCACGAAAAATTCTTGGAATGTTCGTCGTCCACGTCTATGAAGTCTTCCGTCACATTTAAAACCTATTCACAAAAGTTTCTGAACCTAGTGTCCACTTCTCGCGAACGGGCCTTCCGAAACCAATCGACTACTTTTGTCGCAGCATTACTGAAATTTAAATGTTTCTCTCGTACTGTAGGAATATAAACATAACAGGTATATAAACATGGTCGGATAACTGTATATGTGCCATCCAGAGGCTAATATATATCGTATCACATTCGCTGGGCGCATTACCCCTAGCGCAAATTACAGGACAACAAGAGAGAGAGACATAGAACACTCAAGCGCCATTTTTCGTTGGGTATAATATGCGTGCCGCCTGCCGCGTTGGTTAGAGGCCGAGCCCACGGACGCCCAAAAATAATATCGGAATTACAAAAACAACCTATATATATAAAAAAAAAAAAAAGGTATGGAGACAGGGAGACACGGACAAAACCACATCCAATGCAGTAAAAAAAAAAGGGGGGGGGGGGGGGGAGGGGGGACCGACGGCGTTTTAGAAGTTTTGCCGCGATCGCCCCGGGCAGCGTATGCGACGACAGATATAATATTTCGTCCGCACTACCGCTTTCGTATACTTGGGCGTGCGTCAGAAACGGCTCTCGCTCTCCCATGGGCGGTGCGCGCTCCGAGTTTCGGCATGCGTTGGTCGATCGTTCGTTCTTATGGGACAAGCATACGGAGCTGTTAATTGTTTTTCGGTGTTTAACGAAACCTGAGGACTGCTTCGATCTCCCATTTCCAGCGTTATACGTCGATACAGTTGTGTGTGGCGATCGTCGTCCTGCTGAGCCACAACTGCTGGTATGGCTAAGCAGTGTGTTATTCGAAAGACACAAAATACCAAGTTTTAGATAGCGCTTAAAAAAAAAAAAATTTCATTTGAAAAAAAAAAAAGAAAAAAAAAGTGTTGTTGTCATTATGCGCTGATCTAGAACGCGGTTTGAGCTTTTGGGTGTACGCTATTTGAGTATACGACGACTTTTGGCTATGCTCTTCTAAAACTCGCTAATTCAACCTCAGAAACGCAGAGTAGAGGCAAAAACAGATCTCATTCTCAGGGCTAATGAAGCATAAAAACGCACGCACTCCGGAACGCGAATAGGTGCACCGCTCGATGCAGAGTATCGAATCGTTGGGCTCTGACCGATTCCTTGGTCGCGGTCCCTCCCTCCCTCCCCCCCCCCCCCTCCCCCCCCTCCCCCCCCAAATCCCGTTCTCTGCTACCTAATCCTAAACCGTCGTGCTAGTCTACGCTTATATCCACTGAAGCAATGTACGTGCTAAAGAAAAAAATAACAATACAAAACCGATTTTGTGTGTGTGTGTGTGTTTTTTGCACCACCAAGCCGATAAACGGATACTTCTGAAGCAACCGCGGATAGTTGCGCCGCAGTTGACATTTGCGACAGTGAGGATAACATGTAGCGCCCCGCTTATCCGTCTTTCTCGGAAACGAGCAAATAAACACCTCTCCATCATCGTCTACGTCACGGCACAAACGGGGAAAAAGGGGAGGCGGTGCCAGGTTGTGTATACATATCACAACAAGGACTCAAAATAACTCCTCAGGGTTTTCGGTCATTCTAACGGAAACTGCATGACGACTCGACCTGGCACCACTTTCCAGAGCCACATAATAAAACAAAAAATGCAAGAAATGAATACGACGGACCCCTTGTTATGTATACAAGATGTTTAAATTTAATTCGAACCAAATTCTAGAAAAGAAGAAGAAAGGCGTGCGAGGTACACTCCTTGCGGCCTGTGGAGCTGAGTTATACGGGCAATGGCTCATAATGTAGAGGAACAATTGTCACGATGAGGAGGTTAATTAACTAAAATGTGCTGATCAACTTTTTTTAATGAGTAAAAATAAACGTTGAGTTCCAATTAGAGACTTGCTGAGCGTCATCGAAAGCCACTAAATTAGTAAATTTCAGAACTTAAAGCACTGAACGGCTATTTGTGTTTTGGTCATTTGGTGCCCTCTGCTTAGCTGGAGCCACAGATAAACGTTGCGCGAGAGTGTACAATTTCCACCTTCTGAGTTTTGCATCGGAAATACACCATGTGTCGTGCAGCCCCCCCCCCCCCCCAAACCCCCCCCCCCCCCCCCCAAAAAAAAAAAAAAACCGATTGCATTCGCTTTTCAAATATGCAGCTGCTTCGCGAGGTCAAAATGGCGCGCTGATTAAAAGGTCGTCTTCAACGGCCGACACATATATATATACATGCATGTATAATGCGAAGGTTTTTTGGGAAACGACCGAGGCTGCAGTCCAAGTATCGCAACTTGCACTAGCGTCAAAAAAAAAAAAAAAACCACACAAGTGCATCCGAAGGTTTTGTGACAATACAATGGTTACATATACTTCCGCAGTTCTGAAAATCTAACGACATCTCCGCTGTGCAAGGCTGCGCAGCGTCTACGAGCAAAACAAGAACGCGACAAACACGGGAACGCTGCCAGTGTGAACGGCTTTCGATCTTTTCTTTCTTTGGTATTGCTTTAGAGTTGTTACATAATAAAGCGCAACGAATACGAGCACATAGGGATGAAGAGCGTTGACAGCAAATGTAAAGACTCATGTCGCTGCCGCACCACGTTTACCACTGACGTGAAACTAGTCCTTCATAACATCCGGGAATGAAACAATCGCGAACCGAACTGAGGCCGCAGCCTTTCGATGCATGGACGTCATCGTTGCCGTGCTGCTGCCATCTTGGCTTAGCCACACCGGTCTGACCAATGCGAGCTTCTGAGGACAGGTCTGCTGGACTATAGTACAATGGATGTCGATCTTCCGCAGACATTTTTTTCTTGTCCGTCCCAGCAAAACCCTTCAAGTCTGTAGAGCTTCCGTAGGCCGCCGTCCATGACCAAGTTCACAGTTTCTCCTTCGTAGGAAACCGATAGCTTCGCTGGTCTAGTTTCCAACTAGACGGCGGGAACAATTCAATAACCTACACACTGAAGAGTAATGGCACTGCGCTCCCCGGTCGTCTTGTGGCCATTGTCCCGCTTAGTGCAGAGCCGGCGCGATTGGCAATAATTATCATTAAAAAAGAAAAAAAAAAGGAAAACGACACCCTGAACTTTGGAAGCGGTGTCAGAAATCGGCAGACGACGTTCTCCTCTCTCGGGAACTTTTTCCACATTTCTTGGGGACGGAAAAACACCGAAATGGCTGAGGTGTAGCGCCTCTCAGGCGTATAGCTTACAGTGGCTCTACTAGTTTCCTACCCTCCGCCCTTTTCCTCCACCACAAGGACCCGACCCAAGCACGCGCAGAGACGAAATCGAACTGGACTTACCTCGGAGGTGAGGGAGAGCTTGCGCGCCCTGCGCAGCCCCGGGGAGCAGTCGGAGGACGACGATCCTCCGGAGTCCACCGAGCTGGTCGAAGAGCCGAGGTTCCTCCAGTGCCTCGACGACGCCGGCGAGATGGAGCGGGAGTGGACGCCCGAATCCCTGCCGGGGCTATCCGGGGCCAGCGACGCCGACGCCCCGCCGCCACCGTACACGTTGTTGTGGTTCCAGTCGCGGCGACTCGTCAAACTCCCGTTGGACGCCCGGTTGCAGTTCTCGTCGAGGAACCGCCTCGCCGGGGAAGACGCCCTGGACGACGGCGACGACGAGTCGCCCAGGTCACGGTAGCGGGTGAGCACCGGGGAGCCCACGTCCGAGATGGCATCGCCGGACCGCTGCCGCGCCAGGCTGCGCCGCGTCACGCCGCCACCGCCACCGCTGGACACGTCTAGCACAACGCGGGAGCCCAACCTCGGCAAGTCCGTGGCCACCTTGGAGCGGTGCTCGAGGCTCGGGCGTGGCGGCAGCCTCGACGTGTACGAGGAACTGGAGTCGCGGAGCAGGCTGGACGACGTCGACGACGAGCCCAACCGGCGGTCGAGGCTGGTCGAGCGGAGCGACGTCGTGGACGAGTAGAGCACCGACGAGCGCGACGAAGAGTAGAGCGACGACGGCACGGGCATCCTGGACACTTGCACGTCGGCCCGCTCGCGAGGCATCCCCCGGGGAGCGCTGTCCCTCCCTGGTCGCCCGCTCGGCTGGAACGGACCCCTGCGAACGGAGGGAAGGGCGCTCAGAAAGGCCGCAAGACACCACGCGCTCGATCGGTCTCGATGATCGTCCCCGAGAGCGTATAGCTAGCTATTCCTACATTCGATATTGCCTCGACGTCTTGCGAGCCTCGAACGTGCACGCGGCGTCAAAGCACGGCGAAAAGCAGCGGACGGCCGTTCGAAAGAGACGCCCTGCTTTTCTCACCTTGTCAGTCAGTGACTACACCTTCTTTGTTTCACGCAACCGCACACAGAGATGAATGACATGGTATATGAACCTAAAAGGGTATGCCGCGTGACTGCTGAAAAGGTCCAGGGCAACTCAGCGCGTTAACCCCGAGTCTCGTATCTCGCTTGTTTACTGTCACCTCTACGTGTGTAGAAATGACAGTAAACACAGTAAAGCCTTTGGGTTCATTCACGCTGTGCAAAGACACACAGAAAGATACCAGACCGGGAACGCTTTCAAAATGTTGAGTAATGTGTTTATCGGGGGAGTGTAGACACAAACGCGCTAAGCTTCCGGCGTCGTTTCCACAAGAATTCAAAGCCTATACCCAACCACTCTTTTTTTTTTTTTTTTTCTGCAGCAATTACTATATGTCTTTGGCAACGCTGACTGAATCGAATGCCAGTTTAAACTAGTTGTAAAAAAGGCTAACTGCAGGGTCTAAGACCATGGAGTTCAGCCCCGAGCGGGTATCTTTCTGGTAGCTACTTGAAAGAATTTTCAGTTTCGCTAACGTGCGTTGGAAACACACTTTTCCACGTGCATTCATAAAGTTCTGAACAAAAAACCTTCCCTTTTGAGAAAAAAAAAAAAATTCTCTGGGGACAAAAAAAAAAAAAAGAAAAAAAAAGCATCGATTGGACGTTTGTCTTTTGCGAGTCCATCCCAGTTAAACATACAAAATAGCGCAAAAAAAAAAAAAAAGACAAGAACAAGAAGTATACAGGACAAGCGCTAACTCTCAACTAGTTTTACTTAGGAAAAGCAAAGCATCTTTTTTTGCGCTATTTTATATGTTTAAGTAAGATGAACCAACTAGTCCAACAACGTATCCGACTAATCCATCACTAATGTTTTCCTCACGCGGTGCGCTCAGTGCCATTACTACGTAACTCTACATAATAGAATACAATTTAAAAAAATGGTTTTCCTTACGCCGAAAAAAGTGCTCAGTGGGACCCGGTAACGGTGGAAAAGAAGAACTAAGAAATAACAAAATTTAGAAAGTAAAAAAAGAAAAAGAAAAGGAAATAAAACAGGCCGCGCTGTGTTCCCGATACCAACGTGGTTTCGCAAAAATACAGTCTACCAAAACTCTCCATTAAGAGCCAACAACACCTTCTTGCCCCCCCCCCCCCCTCCCCCCTCTCTTTTCCCTGCCTCCTCTCTATCTTGTCTCCCCCATTCGTAAATAAACGCCCGTGCCTAAAAAAACAAAAACAAAAAAAAAACAGTTAAGGTTACGGCTTATGCAGTTCAATGAACCTTTTCAAATACTTTCATTCTACACAATACACTCCTGCACACCCCATAAAAATAAAAAAGACAAGAACAAGGCACATGCTATAAAACTACCCATTATTTACTCGCACGCCGCCTAAGAGGAAAAGTTCCCAAAGCGGGAAAACAAAGAGCGACCAGTGACACGGGGCCTGCGGTGTTGCGAGATGACAGGTACTGCTACATCCCGACCAGGAAAGTGGAGGCCGCGAGCGGTTTTGCACAGCCCGCTTCTAAGCGCCGATATCATTCATCTCTGGTGCGGTCTGGGGCCTGTCGAAAAGAATATAGAACACCGAGAGAAGCGAGTAAACGCAATGTTTTCGAGGTTAACTGGTCGCTCCTCTTCCAGCGGTTCAATGTTTTCCTTCCAGTTTACGAATCGCGTAGCTCTCATCCAATGAAACAGTCAACTCTTCCCAATTTTGTTTCAATTTTTTTTTTTAAAGCAAATGGATTCTTTTTAGTTTCAATTCTTTTACCAAACCTACGAGATTCTCTCTAAAGAGATACTGAGTAAATCTAATTTAATTTCCCAACAAAAATTTAATCTCGTCTTCCCGATTAAGAAAATAAACAAATAAAATAATCGGGTCGTGTTCGACAGGCGAGCACCTGCAGATATCCCCAACCGCTCATAAAAATAAAAAAAAGATATTTTTTTTTTATGTTGCACTGAAGAAAGAGCCAAAGGTGCGCTAAAAGGCCGCAAATATTTCTATCAACGTCCATCTAGGCACCTTCCTGGGAATGCATACGCAGACACTGTGTCCTCGAAATGTACGAGGCAGGTAACGCCTCGCCAGCAATCGACACTACGACACTGACAGCCAACAAAGGTCAGTCCGAAGCCTGTAGCTAATAATTTATTCTATTTTTAAAACATCGAAGCAAACTCGTCTACCTTTGGAGCGGAAGCGGCGCACAATGTCAGACGAGCCGCCAGCGCCCGTACTATCAACACCAATGTCACAACGAATTACAAGTAAGAAGGCAACAGCTAACACGCACCTAACAAAACAAACGTCCAACAGTCGTCGCGTAGCGCGTCCGTATACAGTGAGAGTACGCATTTCCGCTTGCCCAATGCTTTCGAAACCCGACAAAATCGCGCACGAGCAGCAGCTGAAACTCCATGCACTTCGAGTCCTCAGATTCATCCGCGACGCGCAAACGAAAGCACACAACCAGATTGCCATCACTGACGCTTTCGAAAACTGAGTATAGAGAGAGACGAAGGCAGCTAGCTTTGCGTCTACCCACTAATCATTCCATGTCAAAGCTCGCCGCTCTTACGTCACCGCGCGTTCTCATGTTCTCCACCCCCTCGGTTTCTAGCCTTATATGTTTATTCCTGTAACGTGTACAAGCATACGCTTGGAGTACGCAGCACACACTCGAACGCTCAAACCGCGGTTCGGCAGCACAAAGCCATCACGTAAGGGCAAGAAAAAAGAAACACACACACTAGCCGCAGAAACGCGCGTGCACTCTAGAGTTCTAAATTTAGTCGACATTATATGGACACTTCGATATCAGGTCTCCCGGTTTTAGAACGGACTTCCCGACCGGCACTCGGCAGTAATTCTATCTAGCAAACGCTGTTCAAGAGCGCACATCAAACAAACGGATAGCGTCACGCAAACTTCCGGCGAGCCGTTCTCAAATATAGCTGCATGTATACCCGTTGAGTTGTCTCTCTGTCCTTTGTGTTTATATGTTTCGCTTATGCCCGTTTTCAATGCCGCCTAGAAACCGTTGCTCAGATTCTCGCGAATCAAGCCTAACTTCAGAGCATCCTCTCCTCATTCGCTCGATCGGGCAGCATAAGCGTGAAACTGAAACAAACAGGGGCGGAACTTCTCGGAAGGGCCTCGCAAAATATTCACTCGCGGGTACCGCGCGCCTAAGCATACCGTTGTAAAACACGAAACAATGTGACCGCTTCAACTCCAGCAGACGATCAAAAGACCGCACCAGCAACACCTCGTAACAAGGCCTAAAAAGCTAGACTTTCCACGTCACCTGCTAGAGGCCAGCGCCGGGCACAAATCCGGCACGAGTCGCGGTCGAACGCTTCACGCAGCATCGGTGTTTGCCCTCCGGCTTTCAATAGGAACCGTTTAAAATCGGCGTTGTTATCCAGGTGCTGTTGGTCAAAGTCAACGTGATTAACAGGTGGAAAGAGACTGCGATGAAATGAATGAGCCTACACTCTAAAAAAAAGTTTGTGCGTCTACTTTCCCGCACAACACTCGGAGAGCCAATCACCGCAACTTACGGAGGCAACTCAGCGAATGACAATGCCGAAACATATGTTTAGACCAAAAAAAAACGTAGTCTGAGTTGTGACAGACGCACAGACTTTTTTTTTAGAATGTACAGCGGTGCGCCTACAGTCAGCTGTATCACGATACGATGACTGAAATCAGCTCGGCAGTCTCCCAACGCAAAACTGTCTCTAAGCAGTACAATCAGGTGGAGATTAGGCAGGTGTAGTCAACCGTCGTTTCGATACCTCCGATAACGATACCCGACAACGCTATGATGCGCGCGCAAAGGCGTCGGCGGAGTGTCGGGTATCGTTATCGGAACGATCTACGAAAACTCCCTACTGTGACAATTTATAGGCGACGAGGTAAGGGTGACCATTGTCTAACTTTATTCAACGGAAGGGACCCTTGCGAGTAGCAAAAACCGCGCAAGGAGAGTGCTTTGCAAACCACGGCGAGAAATGGGCAAACCATCCGGGGGAAGTGACTTTAGGGGAAACGGCTAGAATAAGCCAAGCAACAGTCAAGGCAACCCGAATTGGAGGTTGAAATGCGATAGGTTTCTTGTTACAAAGAGTAAGCGAGCAAACGAGCTGGTGTAAATTAAACGAAACTATGAAGAACACGGAGACTGGGGTGAAATAGCGAACAAACTCTTATTTCACCTCAGTCTCGGGGTTCTTCGTAATTAGATTTCCTGTTTTCAGTTCCATATTCAAATACGGTGGTATTAATCTTCGTGCTAACCTTTTCTTCCCTTCTCTGACCAAAATCGTTGTTTGTGGAGCCATTTATGATTTGTGCCGGTACTCTTTCTCCCCTCCCCCCTCCCCTTCCCCCTCCCTCCTCCCCCCAACAAAAACAACAACAAATACGTCGAAGTCCGCTTCAAAGCTAAGGACGTAGAGCAGGAGGGTTCATCCAGGATTTTCTACCCGAGGGGGAGGATGCACAAATGACATAACGTACCTGCGTTGAGGAAAAGATCGATTTTCTCGGATCACGATTTCGCTGCTCGAGCGGGCGCCGACACTCGGCAGCACGACTCTGCGAACAAGTGCACGTAACCCGTTCATGGACGACTCCAGCTGGCGGAGGACGACCGAACAGCAAGAACCTCATTTCCGCCGGAAAAAAACGCAGAACGGCGCGCGTGGAATCCTTCACATTGCGCGTTTGTTCCCCACAGCGAGATTCGAACGACCATCGTGCGTG